AAGCTCGTGGGGGGCCTCCTGTTCAAAAATGATGAAGAATTTCAAGGCAGCAGCAGCAGAGCGGGGCCCCTCGCAAACACACAGGTGCGCGTGTCACAGAGCCGGCCAGCCCTGCTCGCCTCCGCGCGCAGGACCAAAAAATTAACAGATGTAAACAGCAGGTTGAGACATATACTATGGAAACATCTGGAGACAGACAGGAGCCTGCTCTTTCCACTCAGCAACGTGTACAATCACAGTAAACACAGCTATACGTATTGAGTCCTTGTTGTGAACTAGAGACCAGGCTGAGGCACCATCTTATTCAACTATCACATCTTTGTTTTAAGTAAGAGATGGAAAAACGAGGACCAGAAAGGGTAAGGAACTTACCCAGGGGCACAGAGCCCAAGAAAGCCAGATTCCAGAACCTGGGCCCAGAATCACGGTGCGTGCTACCAAAGTGGCCTCCTGTCCCAACCCTCTAAGCGGAAGGGGAGAGGGGCAGCTTCAGTGAACTCTGGAAACCCTCCCCGACTCCTCCTTTGCTGAAAGCATGAGGCCATCGCCTAACTTCCTTCTCAAACCTCCCCCAGGCCTCTGGCCCTCCTTTCTCAGAACCCGTGTGATGCCTAGTTCCCCCTGAGCACCTTCTCCTCCCCGCACTGGGAGAGTCACCCTTGCAGGACAGGCAGCTGAGGGTCCAGTTTATGTATTTCTCTGTTTTATTTTTAATGGCTTGGAGTAAAGTCGAAAATACTTTGTGGGGGTAGAGGGGAGGAGAGTCTTTATAAGAGTGGGGAAGAGAGCCCACCGAAGAGGAGAGCAAGTTGCTTCCAGGCTGTTAGCCTCCCTGTGCTTTCTGAAACAGTGCAGAACTCATCCAGATTAATAGAATTTCAGACCTGGAGGCAGAATCTAGGGCTAAACTGGGTTCATACCCTGAGTCCACCATTTCTTAGCTGTGTGACCATGGGCGAGTTGCTTTAACCTTTCTGTGCCTTAGTTCAAGCGGGGGATAATAACAGTACAGACTTCACCATGTTGTTGCGATATTATTGCTGTTATTAGCGCTTCATTGTGACTGTGTGTTTAGACCTCACGGGACTCCTTGCAGAGCCTGAACATCACGCTGAGGGCACAGAGGCTGAGACCAGACTGCCTGTATCTAAATCCCTCTCGACCAGTTACAGCTGTGTGACCTTGGTTCAGACGCTGACCTCTCTGGGCCTCCGTTTCTTCCCTTGCCAACATTTCCCTTGGCTTAGAGGTAGCATGTGAGACTCCATTGGACCAATGGCCCTCAAGGCCGGGACTGGCGCTGCCACCCCCAGGGAAAAGAAGCGCCCCTTCCATCGGAGCAGCTGAGAGGGCCGCATGTGAGCCTGGAGCTGCGGGGCCATCCCGGACCTCGCGGGAGAGCCTGCCTGAGAGTGAGGCCAAGCCCGGGGGAAGCTGAAAAAGGAGCTGTTGGGAGACAGCCATGATGACTATGTTGGAACCCCTGGACGCAACTTTGCCGAAGGCGAGTCATCTTTGGACTTCCCAGTTTCAAGAGCCAGTAAATTCCCCGGTTTGTGAAAGCCACTTTCAGCTGTTTTTCTCAATGGAAAGTATCCAGGCTGCCACCAGGAGGTGAAGCAACTTGCCCGAGGCCCGAAAGCTAGTGAGGAGCCGGCCCAGGAGTTTGAAGCTTCTTAACTCGCTGTGCCTGTTGCTCCAACTTCGGGGCCAGCATTCTGCACTGGGGTGTTGACCCGCTCTGAGCGGCCATTTTCTCCTCTGACTAGCGGGATGATGCCTGATCTGTAGGAAGCAGAAAATGCTGGACAACATTGTTACCCGGTGCAGCTTTGGCAGTAGGTGGGAAGCTCTGTGCTTCAAGTTCCCAGTGCTTTGGACTTTGGCTTTGCCCCCGGTCAGTTATTCCACCTCAGGGGTCCCGTTGGCTGACCGCAAATCAGCCAGCTCTTCGAGCTGCCGAACTCTGTCAGGAGAACACGTGTGAACCTCAGAGGGAAGGGCCCCTCCCCTCCCTGGCTGTGTGTCCTCAGCGGCGGGCAGAAGGAGCTGGGCGACGCTGCGGACCCTTCAGCTCCAGGTCTCTTCGGCGGAAAGAAACCCTGTCGTCTCAGCTTCTGAAACTTTCCAAGGACTCATGCAGCTTAAGGAAGACAGCACTGAACCAAATTGACTTAGTTTCTTTCCTTTACAAAGTCTACATTTAGTGGTGGAGACAGGCGATAAACATCTAAGACAAATATATAACATAACGCCATGTGGTAACACTAGGGAGAGAACAGGACACCAAATGCCTGATAAGCACTAAGGAGGAAAAGGGATAGAGTGACGGGGACTGTTTATTAGGAGGCATCAGAAGGGGCCTCTCTGAGGACGTGACATTTCATCAGAGACCAATTTGGTCTCACTCTGGATCCCAAGCTCTTAACACCGAGCCATCTGCCAGGAAAAAGACCAGGACCGATTTTACCAGGCAACTTGCTGGCCCTGCTCAGTTAGGAGTCGATGATCCTTGGGAAACAGCCATCCTTCTCCACTGACAACTCTTTAGGACATTCGAAAAAGTTTAATGGGTCATTGATTCCTTCCATTAGCTAAATCTGTGAAGGAAGGGCCAGAGCAACCAGGTGACATCATGCCTGCCAGGAAAAGATTTCAGCTCTCATGACACATGGTCATCTGTTTATCTTCTAACCAGTCATCACTAAAAGATTCCCATCACCACCATCACATCTCTGGGGCACACCAGGGCTGGGCTGGTTCAAGGCCCGGCCTTGGCAGGGGGTTGGTGAACTTCACAGATGAAAGGAAGCCTCAGAAAGGTGTGGAAGACTCCAGCACCACAAGTCCCTGTTCCCCACCAAATATCAGACGAGGAGTTGAGGGAGATTAAACAGAGGGTAGAGGAGGAGATACAGAGCAGAAAACCATGTAAAGATGGAGACAGGAGGGAGTGATGCTGCCACAAGCCAAGGAGCAGTGAGCCTCCGGGAGTGGGGAGAGGCGAGGAAGGGCTCTGCCCTAGAGCCTTCAGAGGGACTGTGGCCCTGTCAACCGATTTTGGACTTCCGGCCTCCAGGACTGTTCTGAAATAAACTTGTTGTTTTAAGCCACCAAATTTGGGGTGACTTGTTACAGCACCTTTAGGAAACTGACACAGGCACTCAACAGCCCAGACTTGGGCCCTGCTTTCGAGTGCCACAGCCCCCTCTCCTCTATCAAGATCTTGTGCATAGCTTTGGCCCCACTCAAAGGCCCCTCCAGTCGTTGGGTGACACCTCCTGCAGGCATGAGGGCCACTTGGGCTCCAGATGGGCATTTGATTTATTTACTTATGTAACTCAGCCCACAGCGATAGGAATGTACCAGCCCTGCTCTCTCTTCCCCCAAGTTCTATGAGTACCAGACAACCTGCTACTCAAATCCGTGAGGGCAGGAAGACTAGACCAGCGCCTGGAGAGTCACTTAGATTGGCTAAGCCTTAAATTAGGCAGCCTCCGAGTGTGGGGTTCCCAAATTTTCCCCCCAAATGAGCATCTTTTGTTAATTTCTTCGATGGAACACTCAGTTCCTAAAGGTATTACCTATGACACCAACTGCATTTATTCAATAAGAATTCATTTACCTCCCCACTTCCTATTTTTGGAGGTTAATAATAATTAGGGCTACTATTTACTGATCCACTCACTATACGAATAGCACTATATGCATTTGATCTTCATACCACCCCTATGAAATAGGTACTTCTATTATCCTAATTTTACAAAGGAGGGAACAGAGGCAGGGAAAGGTTAGGTATTTTGCTAAAGGTTGCGTAGCTAGTATTTAGTAGAACTGGAATTTGGACCCAGGTAGCCGGGCTCCAAAGCAACCATTCCCTTGGAGACTGGGTTAGAACCTGGCTTTCACACCAATATGCGATGCTACTCAGGACAAGTGCTTTTGTTTCTCTGCACCTCAGTTTTCTTATCCATAAAATGGTTATAATAGTAGTGCCTATGTTGTAGGATTGCTGTGGAGCTTGATAGTGTGTACTTGGAATACCAGGCACAGTGCCTGCCACAAGCACTCAAGGAATGAATTCAGCCAGCAAGACCCGCATCTGCTCTGGGCGGCCCCGGGATGCAAACAGGGAAGAGAGATGATTCGGTCCTCTAGGTTCTCTGACACCACGCAGTTCACAAATCCGTATCATGTGCCAGGCCACAGCTGGACAGCTTAAAGTGGAACCTGCAGGAAGGCAACCTGACCAGGTGGGCTTCCAGGACCACAGGTGTACAATTAGGTGGGATTGCTGGGAAAATGCACAAATTCTTGGTATCCGAATCCTCTGGAGTGGGACCCAGAAATCTGCATTATTCGACACACAAATGCACCATGGAATTTGTGTTCCACTGAGTCCCGTCTGAGCAACATTTTCTTGATCCTTTGAAGGGACCTCAAGCCAGGACCCCAATCCATTCATTTCTGCAGCGCCCAGAATTTGAGACCCCAAACGGAAATCTTGCATTTCGGTACAAGAACAGTAAAGAGAGTATGGCACCTTCCTCAGCAGCCTGGTGAATCATGAAGCTCTCTCTTGAAAAAAATGGGCGGACATCTGGCCAGAGGCGGGAGGCAGGAGGAAATGGAGCATGTTTCCTAGGCCCATTCTCCAGCTTGGAGCACTGAGGCCAGACCCCTGGCGCAGCACGAAAGGCCACTCCGTGACTCAACGGGCCTACCCGAGGTTTGATCTCACCATCCGCGGAGGCGGTGCCAACCCACGCGCCATGGGCGGGGCTCCTGGGGTCGCCTAGGCAACGGGAGCGCGCCACGCCCAAGCTTCGAGTCCCGGACCGGAGGAGGGAGCAAGAGCTGCGGGACGTCTCGCGGGGGCTTAGGCCGCTTCCACCAGCACCTCCCCCTGGCTCCGCCCCGAGGAAGTGCCGGCCGACGTGCTCGACCACTGATTGGCCCTCACGCTTGAGGGGCGGATCCCGAGGCAGAGCGGTGCGTACTTCCGGCTGCCGGGTTGACATGAAGAAGCAGCGGCTAGGGCGGCGGTAGCGGCGGGAGTCGAGGCTTGCAGCGGGACTCCCGGCTGAGTGCGCGACGCGGCCTAGAGCGGCAGACGGCGCAGTGGGCAGAGGAGGAGGCGCAGCAGCCGCCCTGGCCCGTCATGGAGATGGAAAAGGAGTTCGAGCAGATCGACAAGGCCGGGAGTTGGGCGGCCATTTACCAGGTGCGGGAGCGCCCCGGAGCGCGGCAGGCCCTTTGCTTAGGCCGCGTGAACCTACCCCTCAGGACCCAGGGCCCCGTTCCCCCTCTGCGTCTCGACCTCCGCCGAGGCCCCGCTGCTTGAGGATTCGATCCGACGGCCGCCGAGGCCCCCTCCCCCGCCCCCACACCCGCGTCTCTTTGTCCCTCGGGTGGGCCTTCGTCCCTCCCGGACCTCGCAATCCCCTTTGATCCCTCACTTACCTCACATCCTCCGGCCCGGTGACCTCTCCAGCCCGGAGGCCGCCCGCCCGCCAGTGCTCTCCGCGCGAATCCCTCGCACCCCGACCCCGCCCCCCTTCCCAGCCACTCTTTGTCCCCTGGGGTTGCTGGAACACCCCCACCACTTCCTTTTCTAGACTGGACCACCTCAGACTCTCTTCCTTTGTCTCCCAGGGGGAAAGGGCTGCTCGCCCTCCCTCTCTCCCATTTCCTTTCCCCCAGTCTCGGTGCGCGTCGCGAGTCCCCAGGATGACAGCCCCCGTCCCCCTTCCCGTTCATTCATTGCACGGCGAGGGAGCGGCCGGCCTGGTCCGTGCTAGGCACTGCTCAGGCGCCGGAGGTAGCGTCTCCCGAACGCGACAGGCGAGGCTTTATCCCTCGTGGAGCTTAGAGTCGAGGAGGGGCGGCAGACACTGTCAGGCGGTGGCAGGTGCCGGGAAGCAAACAAAACCTGCCCGCGGGAGGTGGGCTGCCTCGGGGAAGCGGTCGGGGACGGCCTGTCGGAGGGAGACGTTCGCTCTGAGCGGCCGCGAGCGCTGGCCGGGTCAGGCCCAAGAAGGCCTGCGGGGCCGCCTGGCCCGCGCCGAGGCGCTGCCCTCTCCGGCCGGGCCGGGGGAGCGGACGGCTTCACCTGCTCTGGAAGCGCGCACCTGCGCCCTCGGTCACGGCTGGAGTGGCCGGCGCCCGCGCGGCCCGCCCCGACGCGTGGGCTGCGGGCTGGCCCGCAGGGAGAAGTTCGCGAGGCAGGGCTTCCGACCATCTCCCCGGCATCGGATTCACGGCACGCAGCGGTCTGCCCTCGCAGGCGGCCGGGTCCTCGCAGGCAAATACGGGCTCCTGATTAAATGTCACTGCGGGGGCTGAGGATTAACCAAAACCACACGCGGTGTTTGCAATAAACGGTGCACAGAGTGGATTTTGCTGCTTTGTGTGAAGGGCGAAGGTAGTTGATTCTGTCGCCGGCCTATAGGCTCCAAAGGCGAATTGGGAGATCCCTCAGCTGGTAGTGCTAAAATCTATTTTGAGCTCCGCTTAAAAAAGAAAAAAGCTTTAAGCGGTTCTTTGGTATGTCTGACTGACAAAAGGCCCCCCCCCCCTTTTTTTTTTGGTAGGCTTGGTTTCATGTGGATTTGCATCAGGCTTAATAGACAGGACTCTTTTTACTTGGACCATAATGTATATTTGTTACTGATAGACTGACATGAGCACTCTAACCTGTATAAGAGCGATTGGTAAATATATCCAGCTTGTACCCGCGTCTAGTCTGCCCCAGGTTATTGAGTGAATTCTGCTAGGGACGTGGAGAAAGCGCGGACGTGTTGCCTCCGTCAGATTTAAGGCAGCGGAGCCTGAAGTCGCTCTGAACCGTGGGACGCTGCGCTGTGGAACACAAGCGGAGGAGGCCTCCAGAGGCACTGGGCGAAATCTCTCACGGTGCAACTGAGACAGCAGCCTCAGCAAATTCATCCTCTAAAAAGTCCTCGGTTGAATTTGCTTTCGTACCGTTTCAGGCCAGAGCCTGGAGCATGTTGGTCTTTCATTTCCCTCATTGTTCTTAAGTTTCCCTGCTGCGTTTGAACTCCAAGTCTTAGTCAAGATTGCTGTCTTTTGAGATTCCCTCAGCTAATGGACTCCCAGGATCCAGCAGGTGATTTCGTTGGGCCTTAGGGAGTTGTCCATTATGGGCTTTCTCACCTCTACCGTACAGATATTTTTTTTCCCCTAAAATCGAAATCAGAAGCTCTTTTCCTTTTTATGTTGAAAAGTGGCTCTTTTTTGGGCAGTGTGGCATTTTGAAAAACACAAAGAGTTCCTATGACCTTGAGTTGAAAGTGGCAGATTTCCCAAAGTGTGTGTCAATTTACCGAAACCATTATTTTTCAGGAATTCAAAGAAATGTGTTTCAGGTTGGGAGAAAGGGGAAGTTTAAAAAAATTAAGAATTCCTAGCATGTCACGATGAGGACAGCCTTGTACAAAGTCATTTTGAGCTTGCTTACTTTATTGTGATTAGAAAAGTGTAATTTCTACTTAAAATTTTGTGAACAAGGCAGTGCAGTTACTTCTCAGACACTAACTTTTCTAACCAGAACAAAAAGATGCAAAAACTTGGCAACAATTAGGAAATGAACGAAGGAAAAGTAGACTTGGACGGGGAGGACTGTGGTAGTTTAGAAAGCAAACGTGTCGGGCAAAGATTCTGTGCAAGCTCAACCTGGGGCATAACCATGTTTTTACCTGTTAGCGCTAATAAATAGCCCAGGTACTGTGCTATTTAGGCCTATGCATTTAGGTCTATAAAAAGTCAGCTTTGATAGCACGTGTAGATGGCTTTAAGACTTGTTTTCCATCATTTAAACGATTGTATGCCTGGTTTGAAAAGTGGGAGTAATACTTAGTGAGCTTAGAGTTTGAGTTGGTCTGGCTGTCCAAGAGGAGACAGAACACAGACAGAAAAGGGAGCGATTTTTGGAGCTAGAATGAGAGAAGACAGGAGCTTGAATGAATGAAAATAGCTGATAAGCTGCCTTCCATCTGTAGTTGAAGGTTTGCGTCAGGTGTTTTGCTCTTTCATCTCTCAATTCTTTGATTCTGTGACACTGTTCAGTGCTTTTCAGTGTGAATGATTTGATTGTTTCATATAAAGGAGGTTGCAACGGTAGCTTGTGGCTCCAAGGCAAGATTTATTCCATGTTAGAGGCAGGCTTTGTAAAATGGGCTGCGCTTCCAATTGACGTGTGCCTTTGTAGCTGCTTTTTTTGGCAATATGAGCTAATGCCTCTCTAGGTTAAAACCATGTTATAACAACAGTTCATGAAAATTTTTCACTTCTATATACACCTTATGTTGTTTCAGTCCAAGGAGGTGAATATTAAACATTTCCAATAATGCTTTTAAATACCATTCTCTTCAGAGAAAAACTGTGTTTTGTGAAGAGGAGACAGATCTATACACTGTGACTCACTTCACTTAAAAGAAAAAAAAAAGACAAACGGAAATGACATGGAGAGATTGGGAAGTTCTAGTCATCTTGAGTGACCCATTAGATCTAAATGTTCTTGTTTAGCCCTAGTTTGAGTGAACTAAATTTAGGTGTCTGATCACCACTTTGGAAATGGTGTTAAGACCTTTGTAATTGTCTGGGCTCATATTAAATAAACTGGGAGCACAAGGAGAAATAGTGGAGGGAACTTTCTGCTATCATCATTTGTTTGACATCACTGGCATATTTATAGGAATACTTTGGTCCTTTCGGAAGTACAGAAGCACAGGTCAGCTTGCGGCAGGTAATGGTAATGCACATGATCTTCAGCTGCCAACTGTCTGCTGTTGGGCTCCATGGTTTTCCCACTGCATTTTGCATTTTAGCGTGAATAGCTCCCCAAAACCTTTGAAAATACCTGGTATTGAATAATATGATTGAATATATACTGAATTTCATGATAGAAATGGATAGAAAATTTCCTGTAGGGGGTTTTGTAGAGTATAAACTGTTGGAATAATGACTGTGCCTTTTCTTGTTCTTTTTCTTTTTTTTTGTATTGTCTGTTACCTGATATTTTAGAGTGCAGAAATTTTGTCCTATGATGCGCTTTTAATTGCAGATACTTTCCTTAAGCCCACCTGAATCCATATATATTTTGCACACTGTGGCGTTACTCTCCCTCCGGTGTTTGTATTCATTCGTTCATGGTAACCAACTAACACTGACAGAGAGGCTGGGCATGTTTCTTGCTACTGACCATGTTCTGGAAAATGGGAAGTCTTAACTGGGTCATTGTTTCCAAGCCAGCGTAGTTTGGTACCAGGCACTCTGTGGGCGCTTTGAGTATCCAGGAGTGCTGGGGACTTCGGACTAGTTCTTGGTTCCCCCGACCACATTTTGTTGACTAGTCCCCGTAGCATCCTTGCTACTACCCCAGCGGTCTTAAGTTCTCAAATTTTGCCTCTAACACTGCAGCCGTTTCTAGTTTCACACTAGATACGAGTGAGAACAGTTACATATTAATATGGTCCCTCAAAGTCTTTCCATACCCCTGCCCTGATGCTGCCACGTATATTCTTCACATCATTGCTAGTAATTGTGTTAAAAACAGACCTGAGCCTGTCACTCCTCTGTTTAACTACTTCCAGTGCTTTCATAATACCAGTAAGGTCCAAACTCCTTAGTATGGCAGCCGGCTCCCAACCATCCCCGCCTGTGTACTTTCTGTTCTAGCCACAGTGGAAGGTGCCGCGTTTTTCAAACTCATCCTTCTCTTTCATTCCTCTGTACCTTGGCTCACCTCTTCGTCTAGCCTGCCTTTCCCACTCAGATGTGCGCCCCCTCACGCCGCACCTGCTCATTTCCATACAGCTTCATACTTACCTCTTCTGAAGCCCTGCTCTCATGGGAGCTGTTTCTATAGATCCAGATCTACCTCCTCCAGAGTCCAGCCTTCCTGAGGACGGCAAGTCCATCATTCTCATTCATCTTGGTGTCCTCTGCACCCAGCACAAAGTGCCTAAAAATTGCTGGCATCGAATTTGTCATCGGCACTTCTCCAGGCCCAGACAATATAAAGACAAACGAGACATGGTTTCCAACTCCCATTCTAGCTGGGGGAGGGGGAGGGAGGTTGGGTTGGGGGGTGAGGAGGGGGAGGATGATAGTACTGATAACAGAGGTCACTGTTGGAGAAAACCACTGCATTGTGAGCCGCGGCCAGATGAGGCGATTGAGTATTGCCTCCTTGGTGACTTG